TGTATATAGAAGCCAATAAAAAATCTTGTAAATATAACAAAGAGAGTAGAAGCTTTTCATTGATGACATCCATCAAAACCAAGCTGAAGAATATCATATCTTTGTTATAAAAAAAACAAGATCAAAAGAAGATAAAACTCTATCTTCTATTTTTTTATATCTTTTGTATATTTGTGATGCTAAGGAGATGAAAAATCAACAACCAGAACATTCAAATTAAAAACTTTCATTTGTTAACTTACTAGACCAAACATTACAATTGTCACAACCTTCAAGACAACAAAATCAAGATGAAGATCCTCAAGAATGACATGTCTTTTCTCAAATAGATGGCGAGATATAACATGTTTGATATCACGACCTTGGAAGAGACTCCTAATATTTGGTGATTTTATTAGAAGTAGGAACAATTCTTGATGGTATTCCAAATGTTTTATTTGAAAGAAGTTACGAAGGCCTCAAGAATGATTAAATAATAAGGTGGTCTTTTTGTTCTAGTATGGGATACTATTGATGGCTGAGACGACCTATCAATCATCTTTGAAGATAATAAAGACTAAAGTATATAGCAAATATAATTCATCATATTTTAGATTTATAAACATATAATGACTACTTCTCATAGAACTTGTTCCTAGAAGGGGAGATAATATTTTAGATATACATACATATTCTAATAAATACCTATATGATTAAATAGAAATAGATAAAAGTAGATAAAAATAGATTAATTTCATAATAATTTCTAGATAAGCTTCTTAGAAGCTTCATAGATGCTTCTTTGACTTAATATATGTTTATATTTGATTGATAAGTTGAAAACTTGGTCAACAAGTTAATCAATGTGATAGTAGTTTTCAAAACATGCTAACTATGTGGCACACATATAAAAAACTTGTCTTGCAAGTTAACATACATGTCTTGTAAAGTCAACATGTTTTAGAGGTCATATAGGACATCGCCACATAACTCCTAGTTAAGAGTATATATACCGGTAAGAGTGAAGCCTTCTTTATTCTTGTCAATGCCTTTCTAATCATTAGTCTTGTTTCAAGACTTTCTAATCTTCTTATTTTTAGCAATAGCCATTCTAATTTAATATTACATCATCTTTGAGTGACTTTCTAGTTCTTTTCAATGACATGAGAGTGTATTGAGAATTTTCTTTCTTCGAGATTCATGTCCTTGATACTTCTTCTCGATGCATGTAAACTTCACTTGAAGTACTTATTATCTCAAATTCAATTCCATAAGTATTCCACTCAATTGACATGTAATATATTGGCCAATAAGAAAACTCGTTTTTTTTCTATGTATTTATTTCTATTGTGATATATAAATATATATATATATATATATATAACTAAAAAAATAAATTTAGATTGAAGTCATAAAAATAAAAATAAAAATATGTGATAAAAATTAAATAACTATTAAATAATTTAAACTATATATAGACATAAAGAATTAATATATCACGATTTGTTTTTGTTAATGACATACTATCAAATAACATGTAATTGACATTTATTTTAACTTAAGGAATAAATTATTTTTCCTATTGTTCAATCAAAAGAGTTTATAGTTCTTTTATTTATTAAATACTTTTTTAAAATTCATATTTGAATTAGTCAAATATTTCAAATTTGAGGCATTTCAGTTTTAAAAATTCATGTAATAAAAAATATATTTATATGATAATTTAGTTTGTAATTGTAGTATATTTTAGTTAGATATAGTATAATACAATTTGACATAAATAGATGTTGATTGATATGATATTGATAAATTAGTTCTATTTACAGCACAATTTGATTTATATATGCATTAGATTTTTTCAAAAGAAGTATAAATGGTGGTTGTGAAATGGTGATTATAACATGAAACCTTGAACACAAGCAAGTACACTACCACAAAACACTTTAAATTTAACACATGAAACCACATTTTCAAGACCGCCTACTCAAAGACATTGAATTTCAACCACAACAAGGCAAAAGAGAAATCATAACCATAACCTTGAACAAGAAATATCTAGAACAAGAGTAAGAACAAAATTGAACAATAGCAACCAAATCAATAGTGACCGCAGAAAGAGAATTTTTGTTTCCCTAAACTTGCATGAGTGAGTTTGTATGATCTTAAGAAGTAAATTTACCTACTTCACCTTATTGTCTTAACTCCATCCAATTGGGTATTAGGAATTAAGTTAGTATTTAGTAATTTGTCACCATATCAATGCATTAAATAAACCCCGTTTTTGTGTCCATTTAATTGGGTATTAGGAATTAAGTTAGTATTTAGTAATTTGTCACCATATCAATGCATTAAATAAACCCCGTTTTTGTGTCAGAAAGAAAAAACAAAACAAAAAATAAATAAATAAAATTGCTTGAGTGAATATTTATTTGGAGTGGAGGCTATACCCCAATCCTGGGAACTATTTCACTAATTCTTACACACATACATTGCATTTCAAAGCAGGATTTTGCTGCCTGGATTGATAGTTTTAATTCTTGTGTGCATTGAGGTACTACAACTGGCATGCTTTTCCCATGCCATGCCAGGCCTTGTCTGGCACAAGAGTGCTGGGAGGGGAAGCCAAAAGTGCCTGTTTTGTTCATTTCATCACATTTCTCTGGTAATGGTACATTTACACATTCATAGCAAAGTGAACCCATTTTGCATGTACTTTTGCCACTTCTGCAAACCCTAATTCCACCTTGTTATGACCCAAAAAAGAATGCATCCATCCAAAGCTATGATTCATCATGGGCACTACTTACTTTACTTTAGAACCCAAAAAGGTAGGGGGCTTCTGAAAGGCAGTGGAGGCAGAAATATCAATTAGGGAAACAAGTATCTCATCCCTGTCAACCAGATAGAATCTCATTTTGTGCCATAAAACAAAGTACTGCAAACCTTTCCCAATCCACACACACACACACATAAATACACATATATATATATATATATATATATATTCACACTTCTACAGTCGACACAAGATGGATGATTCATATACAGAGAGGCTTTGGGTACAAAATGAGACTGCAAGTAAAACCCAATGAACAGAAACCACAACTTTTCCATGGGATAGAGTTTATATACTTAGGATTGGAGGGAGTGTAGCTGGGCAAGGGTAGTCCTAAGAGTGAGGGTATCTTTAAATGCCTCCTTAGGTGTGGACTCCAAGGTACATCCCCTCTTTGTAACTTGATTTTTTAATTTTTTTATAATTTTTTTCTCAGATTTTAATACAAAACTATCATGGAAAAGGCTTACCATACATCAGGGTGATGGCATATGTGCATTAGCATTCCAACATCAAAATTAAAAACCCTTTTTTCACAAATGTGTTTCTTGTAGGTGTGTGTTATAATTTTGCTTTATTATGCCTTGGGATGTGTACAGGGTGAAGCTTTTTGTTGAGGTGACTGGGTCTTTATCTGAACAAAGTGTTACCTCTTTATTTTACAAAATTCAAACATGTTGAGTAACTAAGGTCCCCTCATGTTACCATTACTTGCAAGAAACCATCTTGATAAATGTTTAAAGGAAAAGTTGTCTGAAAACTTCATTAGAAGTATTTTAATTGTTTTGAGGCTATCTTTAAACCCAAGGTCTTCATCTTAAGATAAGATATTTCAAGTAAAATAGAACTATATATGTGCATGTTAGAGAAAATAGCATTATAATCAGATAAGAGTCATATATTTTCAAAGTGATATTAGAAGCCTTATCATTAATTTAATTGATTTATCAATCATCATTTGTATTATATATACATGATTTTAAGGTTTAAAAATTGAGGAAATTCGACTTTCTTTTCATTTTATACATTTATTTATTAATTTATTACATTTACTTTATCTTAGGTTAACTTTTAGTGAAATAAAAATTAACCACATCAATTTAAGTGTTCTTAATAATGTGGTTTCAGTCTTGTGCATAAAAAAATTAATTGTTTTTGAGAATTGAAAACAAATTCTTGAATAGAAAACATACTGAAACGAGTTCATTATATTTTTTACTTTATTGATATTCTAAATTAAAATCAGAACATGTAATTGATTTCATGTGGCTCCAAATTTGAAATTCATGAAGCCATGTGATGTAGTGGATGTGTTGGTACAAACCTTTGAGTATCTAGATTAGAACAATAATGGAATACAAGACCAGGTAGTAAATCATTAAATCTATCTGGTTAAATAAATATGCTTTAACAAATGTTGCATGAAAACAATAGTTTTGACTACAATATGTTGTTTTTTTAGGCATTATATTTCTTAACACATGTAAACACCCTATTAATTAGAAATATTTTGTGCTTGTGCTAGTTGACATCAAACTATTGTAAACAGGCCCGCATAAAATATCAATGCATGCTAATCAGATAGAAACTGCCAATGCACACACACCTCATGACTTTTTATGAAATACTACAATGTGGGTGTGTATGAGATTATTATTATTATTATTATCATTCATAATGAATTCTTATGCTTTTACAGCCCTTCAAAATACAAAATACTGTATACAGATGTATATGTAGAACATGTATGTGTGAGTTCTTTTGGAGATCTTTACCCTTGAACAACAACAATGTGATGTTGTATGTGCTTTGACATTGTATTTATCACATGCAAATCACTTTTTGTTTGAGAACACACATCAACAAGCATTGCATTCAAAAGTCCATATTTTCCTGATCATAATTTCTAGTAAACCCTAACATGCTTTTTTCACTTGGATCCAAAGGCTACTCACATGGCTGTGTGGTTACTAATTGGAAAATGAGGCTGAGAGAAGGAGGGCGTTGAAGCTCAGCAGGGGTGTACCAAGCATGTAGGTGAAGAAGAGGCTATGGTCACAGGGAAGCTATGGTTTATGGCTATGGGGGAAAATACAGGTGCAAGTGGAAACGCGCTGTTGAGGGGAGAAGTTCACCAAGATAATTAGAGGGGGAGAGGGACCAGCTGGCGTCATTGCCATGGGACCCGCCGACGACGCTACAACCATGTTTTCAGGTCCAGGTCCGGCGACGGAGGAGGAGGGCATATGGTTGTCGCTCGCTCGGTCGATCCCGAGCTTGCCAACTTTGCAGCGGGGGCTAGGTACTAACATTACTGTATGTATGACACGATCTCTCCTCTCCTATTTACTTCATTTCTTTTTCCAGGGCAGGGCAGGGCAGGGCAGGGCAGCGCATGCATTCTTCTCGCTAAGTCTCTGCCTCCTGGTCTGCTGCATCTCTAGGTGTGACCGCCTTTCCCTGCGCCCTTCGCGGGGTCGTGCGAAAACGGAAGGTGGAGTTCGGGAGGCGAATCGGGCCAAGTGTTCCAGCAGGTGCAGCCTGAGAACAGCGGCGAGGCTAGCAGAGGCGGCCTCGGAATTTTCGTTTCTTAGAGCAGTCTCGAAGAGGGAGAGGAGGGAGAGAGAGCGAGAGGCTGAGGGTTGGCGGGGGTGCTGCAGCGACAAGGGTTCCAGCTCTTACAGTTTTTTTTTTTTTTTTTTGTGTGTAGTACGTAGTGAAGCTGTTGTCAGTGCAGTGTTTCAGTCTTGATTTCCTGTCATTCGAAGTCGGTTCGTTTTTGCGGCGGTTTGCTTCCGGAGAGGTCAATAGTTGAACTTTCCAGATCTGCTCCAAGGCGGTGTCCGACGCTCCAATTTTTAGGCGTCTTCTCCTGAAGCCGATCAGTAGTCGAGATCTCATCGGCGTTTTCTTATCTTCTATCTACTTCCTGATTGCCTGCCGTTGGCTATATTGGTAAAGGCATGATTTATTGTACAGATCGAGGCCATTTTCTTCATTGAATGCTCTTTGCTACCGCCTGCGCTCTCCTTTTCGATTCTGCCCTTGGAACCAGAGCTTTGCACTTGCCGTCTTATTCCACCAGGACGCAGCAAATTGTTGGTTTCTTCATGTGCGTGAAGTGATAACATCACTGCCCAGGGTGGACGACGGCACTCGGCGGTTTTGACTTTCTCAAAACTTGTGTGCATTGAGAGAAGCTTGTGATCTTGGATGCGAGCCAGAAGTTTAGAGGAAACTACTTAAAGGTGTCTAGCTGAAGAACATATAATATTGCGGATTAAAGTCTGCAAGAAAGGAAGAGACAACACATTTATTTGGTGTGGTAAGCCTCACCTTTCAAACCCTTCGTCCACACTAAGGCACTTAAAAGGTAATCTGTTCTATCGACTACATTGCAAAGACTTGAAGATCTCTTATCTCTAACCGAGGTTAAGAAGGAATATATTGCCTTTCGGCATGAATAGCCCTCAAAGACCCCTCACTTTGGAGACTTCCTGGGAGTCACTCAGGAGAACCATTGACTCCAACCCTGTTGACAACGGCAGCATTGATTTTGAGAGACCAATGGAAGTCAGACCGCGCCAAATTGAGAACCATCATTCTCTTGATGAGAGATCTCTCAACGACATCATTTCGTCGGGGCTATCTTCGCCACGCCCCCCTCGGCAGCTGGAGACGGTTAAAAGCTCCGAGTGCTTGGAAGCGCTGCTTTCTCCCAGCATTCGATCGTCAGCTGGTACTCCTCGGGAGTATCATGCCTTCGAACCTCATCCAATGATTGCGGACGCATGGGAAACACTGAGGAAATCAATGGTATTCTTCCGGTCCAAGCCAGTGGGGACTATTGCGGCTTTAGATCCGACGGAAGATTCTTTGAATTATAATCAGGTTATGCTCTGTCTTTTATATCTCCTTTACAGGCTGATTGATTTGATAACGTGCATCGAGATGTGGTTCATCGGTAAATCAATATTCCATTCGTGTTCCTCATTCTCTATGTTCGTTGTACCTATTGCATGTTCTTGTGTAGCCAGAGCCGATTACTGTGAATGCTTCGTTTCCAGCTAGCGGTTGGAGTTAACGTGTCTCTTGCCAATTTTAATTGGAAGGAAGCTATAATTCCGGTTATCTCAAGTTCGTTGACTTCTTGTAAATTGCTTATTTTCTTGTGTGGGGTTGCTGATTTGCACTAAACGTCGAGAACATGTGTTCATTGTATTCTTTGTGGGAGCTGTAAAATTTTATAAGCTACGCTTTAAAATGTCATATATGTATTTAAGTGATACGTCAGATTCGATGTGCCTCCGCTTTTTGGGAACTGTATCCTATTTTTTATATATTTATTATTTTTTTTGTCGCACATAGAACTAGAAATCATTCCTGTACATTCATGGAAGAAAGTATGAATGGATGTGTAATTCACGGATTACGTGGTTACGGTTTTCAATGCCTCACTATCGAAGTGCGGGTACTGAGCAGTTTTGGTACATTTGGATGTGCCGTTTATTTGACGCTTAGAGATTGTCATTTATTCCGGTTTCAGGTTTTCGTGAGGGATTTTGTTCCCAGTGCTTTGGCATTCTTGATGAACGGCGAGCCGGAGATAGTAAAGAACTTTTTATTGAAGACTCTGCGCCTTCAATCGATCGAGAAGCGAATCGATTGTTTCACGTTGGGTGAGGGGGTAATGCCCGCAAGTTTCAAGGTAATTGCTGTTTCTGTAACATGTTCACCATGTTCATTCATCCTGAAGTTCAATGTTCATTAAACTAGCGCCGTCTGCCGAAATTGGCTTTTTAGCACAAATGTACTCCAGAAAACAGTTGGTGTCTGTTGCTTACAGAAGAAGTTGATGTTGCCTCGTATACTGCAGGTCCTCCACGATCCTGCTCGCAAAACAGATACGATGATCGCTGATTTTGGCGAGAGTGCAATTGGGAGGGTTGCTCCAGTCGATTCAGGATTCTGGTGGATCATATTGCTTCGTGCTTATACCAAGTCAACTGGAGATCATTCTTTAGCAGACATGCCCGACTGTCAAAGAGGAATGAGACTAATTTTGACCTTGTGTCTCGCGGATGGATTCGATACTTTCCCAACTCTTCTATGCGCAGACGGCTGCTGCATGGTGGATCGTCGGATGGTATGTGTATCTGAAACTTTTGTGGTAATGTGATTGTAGAATCTATTTACAATCGGCGATCAAAGATTACTTTGTGAATGTAACTTAGTTGTGGAATGGGTATAATCGTAGTAAGTAAAACTCTTCAATATGTGTATCATTTATGGGTTTTTTTTGAGGAATTTTGTGTATATATTGGTGTCTGTAGGGCATTTATGGTTATCCAATAGAAATTCAGAGCTTGTTTTTAATGGCTCTGCGCTCTGCAAAGAGTCTTATTAAGGCTGAAGGCGAAGGGAAGGAATTTCTAGAGAGAATTGACAAGCGACTTCACGCCCTCAGCTTTCATATGAGGGAGTATTTTTGGCTGGACCACCAACAGCTTAATAATATCTACCGGTTTAAGACAGAAGAGTACTCTCACACAGCGGTTAACAAGTTCAACGTTATTCCAGATTCTATTCCAGACTGGATTTTTGATTTTCTGCCTTTGAAGGGTGGTTTCTTCATTGGCAATGTTAGTCCTGCTCGCATGGACTTTCGTTGGTTTGCTATCGGTAACTTTATGGCTATTCTGGCATCTCTTGCAACTTCTGAACAGGCAGCTGCCATTATGGATTTACTCGAAGCTCGCTGGCCTGAGCTTGTGGGTGACATGCCACTTAAGGTTTCGTACCCTGCAATGGAGGGACATGAATGGCGCGTTGTTACCGGGTGTGACCCAAAGAATACTAGATGGAGCTATCATAATGCCGGATCTTGGCCAGGTACACTAAAATATTTTATTTGTTGTCATTAGGGTTTGTAGGTATACTTTCGTACTTGATTTATTTATGCATACTGCTACGTCTTGGATAACTTTGCTAAGCGTTAAACAACTTCTGGAATATAAATATCATCTTGATTGACGTGTTCTGCGAAGGTATATTGGAGTAGTTAGTTGAATTCGGTCATTGTGATTGTTATATTTGAGGATGAATATTTTCTATGTGTACCTGAAAGTTTTAATTTGACAGTTCTGAACTTGGAAAGGTAATGAATGCATTTTTGTTTAATTTTATTTTGTGTTTATCAATTTAGCTAATCTACTGTCGTACAAAGTCTCTCAGTCAACCTACATCTTATGATCTTTGCCCCTCCAAAGTATCTTGGTTTATTGGTCGTGTGCAGTTATTCTTTGGATGTTGACTGCCGCATGTATCAAGACGGGTAGGCCGCAAATTGCGAGACGGGCTATTGAGCAGGTGGAGACTAGGTTAGCTAAGGATGGGTGGCCAGAATATTATGATGGAAAGCTGGGTCGGTATGTTGGAAAACAGGCACGTAAATTTCAAACCTGGTCCATTGCTGGTTATCTTGTTGCGAAAATGATGCTGGAGGATCCTTCTCATTTAGGAATGATAGGACTCGAAGAAGATAAGAAGATGAAGCCGTCACTCACTAGATCTGCATCATGGACAGCTTAAAGATGTGAAGCTATGCAGCTTGTCTACCTGTGTAAGTATCCTATCATAAAAGATTTTGTCTATCAAAGTCGAGTCGACGCGATTGAGAAGACGCAGACCGGGGAAACGACCATGAAACTACGTAAATTCTCGTATTCTTGATCAAGGATAATTTACCGATGGAAGTTCTCTAATTCCTCAATTTGTGGCCGTGACTTGGTTCATGAGATCAGGGGAAGAGAATGGAAATAATTGTACTATAGTTCATTCATGGACCTAGTCATCTTGGAAGAAGTTGAGAAGGATACAGGGGAACAGGAAGATATATTCGATCTTTATAATGGGGTGACAAAAGGGGCGGAAGAACGTAGGAATGCGTTCGGTTATCCTGACTAGCATGGGAGTGTGCAGCTGTTTCGTGTGATACCCCTTATAGTCATGGTAATTGAGCTTTCGTGACGTCGCAGAATGCTGGCTCAACACTGTCTCAATCCTGCGAAAAGATGACTAGAAGGTGGAAGAGGTGTGTACAATGTTTACGGACTGTTTATCGGATGGCTAAAGCCAACTTAGGATACAGGAGTAGAGTCATGATACATGGAGCTGTAATAGGGCTCTTATTGTCTCTAGTTACAAGCTTGCCCTCCTAGGGCTCATTCAAAATTTTCCTCTCATCGGGCATTTTCGTTTTTGTTAGTGTTGGTGCATCTATTTAATGCTGGCATTGCATCTAATCGAGTTTACCACGTTCTCTCTTTTAATACCAACGTTTGTTCGTCAGAGGCTGCCTTATACACTCTGATGTATGGCAATAACCAGATTTTTTTTTTTATAATAGGGTTAATTTGATGTACTTTTCCTAGCAGTAAATTTTCACAACAATATTGAACTTTACAAAGTATTCTGTGTATGTTAACTTGGGAGTGTGACCGGAATCTGCTTCTCAATCAATCGTACATGTAAGCGAACTCAGTGACATCAATTATCTTTACACGATGAGTAACTACATCAATACTTCAAAAATGGGTTTGAAATTGAACGAAGCTAAAAATAGTGCGCATTTCTATGTCATAGTAGTTGTTGGATGATGTAAAAGCACTCGTTCGCATTCCCATGACCAGTTGATATTGCTTGAAATAGTTAGCATGACAACATCGTTATCTGTGCGAGCTCTTGTAACTGATCTGCAATACGATGTGTATGATATTTCCTTTTAATTACAAGTCTTACAACCCACAACAGAAACCAACACTGAATATATATATATATATATATACATATATACACTGAATAAAGCGTTAAAAAAATTAAATCTAAAATCTAACAGCAATAATTAAAATGAGAAGCATTCATTTTAATTACAGTTTTCTGGCTTGTTCAAAAATTAAAACGACATATAAATTTGATGTAAGAATTAGAGATAATTGGTAAATAATTGGTAAATAACAATTCCATATTCTTGGAGGGTTTTCTTCACTTTAGTCTTTGATATATTGAATCAACTTATAAATTGCAATGTGTATAAGAAATGCCATGCTAACATTTATAATGTATTTTCATTTGAACAAAAATGTTTTTTGTATTTATTTTATAATTTATTTTATTTGTCTATTTCCAAGTTGAAGGATTCTTTTGAACATTAAAAGTTAATTTAGAATATGGTTGTAGTTTGGCTTTATACTTATAATCTAAATATAGATATATATTGGATTTATGTTTATTTTTATGATGCTGTTATTATAAATTTTATTGATTTATTTCTTAAGTTTAAAAATATTCTTATTTTTATAATAAACAATATTCAATTTTAGAGTATCCATTTGATTAATTGTGTATAAAAATAAATGAGCAAAATAACAATTATGGATCTATAATTGTATAATGTCCTTGTTTACTATTTTTAAAATTGTATCTATTAATGATTGAAAGAATGAACAAAAAATGACATACCATAATTCAACAAAAGATCTATAAGTAGCAAAGAAAAGAAAAGAAACAAATTAAAATAGAAAGAAATAAAAAATATATTTTGAATAAAAAAGTGAGGTTTTGTTGTATCTACAATCAAACCTCAATAAAAGTTACCTTGATATAAATAATTATTTCATTTTGTAAGTTAACATTTTTGAAGTCTTTAAAAAATTACAAGACTAATAGTTAAGTTGTTAATAGTTAGCTTTCTATACTCTTTTTAGTGTGTTAAGTATAACTTGATTATAGTTAGATTTCCTATTCACTAGTCAAATACGCTCAATTTTGTTTAAATGAATAGATAGTATAAGTATCACAGATATACATAAGTACTCTAGTAAATACCTATATGATTAAGTAGAAGTAGGTAAAAATAGATAAAAGTAGGTTAATTTTATAATACCTTCTAAAGAAGCTTCATGGATGTTACTTTGACTTTACATGTTTTGTAGTTGATTAGTAGGTTAAAAACTTGGTCAATAAGTTAACTATGTATTGGTAGCTTGCAAAAACAAGCTAATTATGTGGCATACATGTAGAAAACTTGCTTTACAAGTTCAGATACGTGTCTTACAAAGTCAATACATTTTGGAGGTCCTATAGGACACTACCACATAGATCCTAGTTAAGAGTATATATGGAGGCAAGAATAAAGCCTTATTTACTCTTGTCAGCATCTTTTTAGTCTTTAGTCTTATTTCAAGACTTTCTAGTCTTCTTGTCTTTGGCAATAGCCATTCTAGTTCAATAATATATCATCTTTCAGTGACTGTCTAGTTCTTTTGAGTGTCACAAGAGCGTATTAAGCATTTATTTCCTTTGAGATTCATATCATTGACAGTTTGACAAGAGTGCTAACTTACTGTTTCTGTCTTGTTTTAAAAGTGGATGGATTATTCCACTTCTATTGTTGTTTTTTGAAGGTTGCAGACTACCTACCTTTAAACAAAAAAAATTATTTTCTAATATTTATCTTTTTCTTAAAGAGAGTGGATTACTTTTTTTTGTGGAAATTTTTATTTGATATTAGAAGTTGTGGATTATCCTTATCTAATTTAAATTTTTGAATTTGTTTGAGTTGTCTATAAAAAAAAAAGATTATAGATGCTACTCTTAGCAGAAGTGAGAATAGATTTGTAACTATTTCAAATCTTTATTAGCTTGTCAGTACTCTAAAAGTAGAAATCTCACATATTTCCAACGTAAATTATCAAAGGACTAAACCTATACCTATGGAAGAAGTTCAAAGTCTGTAGTAAGAAGTTGTGCAATTGAAAGAAGCAAGTAGATTAATCTCGCAACCAAATCTCTTAAGTCTACAAGTATGACAGGAATAAGGATTACTATGCCTTAAGAGTTTGATGGAATAAGATCAAAATTTTGAGGATTTTTGCAATAAGTCAAGCTCTGTCTAAAGTTGCATCCTTTCCAATACCTAGATGGATTTACTCAAGTTGGATTTATAAGCACACTTCTATTAGGAAGTGCTCTTTTTTTACTTGCACCTTTAATAGAAAAGGATTTGCTACTCTTTTATGATTTGAATTCATTCTTAGAAGTGTTTATGGCTACATTCAAAGAAAGTGATCAAGAAAGAGCAGTAGAAACTAAGCTCTTATTTCTACGACAAGAATCACGGTTAGCCACAATGTATGCTGATAAATTCCAAAATCTCGCTTGCAATGTGGATTGGAATGATAAAGCCTTAATTAATCGATTTCAATATAGATTGAAGGATAATATGAAAGATTTCTTATTCACAATGTCAAAGATAGAATCTTTAGAATAATTTATTCCTTTAGGCCATTGCATGTGACATTTAATTATTTAAAAGATATCAAGAACAAAGATTTGGTTAGAGAAGAACAAATCAAATAATGACGGCAGCTCCCAAATTTTTAGAAACATATTTATTGAAGCTAGAACCAATGCAAATTTATACGGTACGCTTTAAATTCCTTACATAGCAAGAAAAGACTCGACAATATTAAGAAGGCTTATGCTTATATTAAGGGAAAGCTAAATAAAGTATTTAACATTGTTCAAAGAAACAACACAACCATAGAATGAGAAGTATGGTTGCTAAAGAAGAGAATCTGTCAAAAAATGAGTTTTTCCAGCTATGATAAGGACAATGCGGTTTGAATCTTGTATAATTCCTAGTAAAGGTTCTATTCTCTCTTCAGATCCCTCACCTTATTTTATAATAGAAGTTTCTTTAGGATCAAAAAATCACATAGTCTTAGCTTTAATAGATTCAAGTGCCTCAACCTATTTTATAGACAAAGATTTTGTCAAAAAAAAAGAGATATTATTAGTCAAAAAAACTAAGCTTATACATGTAGAAGTCATAGATGGTCATTCACTATCTTCTAGAGATACTATGTATGAGTCTGTTCTTTTAGATGTAGCAATTAAAGATTATAATAGTATAATAATATTTAATATAATAAGATTTTTATTCAATCTAATTATTTTAAGATTATCTTAGTTGAAAAAATATAATCTTCAAATAAATTAGATTTTTTTTAACCTTAGTTTTTTTGATAATTTAATCCAAAATTCCATTAGTCAAGTAAAAATACATAAGTCTAGTACATCCAAATCCTTACTAGTAGATACTAGAGCTTTTATGCATGCCACAAAAGAAAGATTATCTTTTGTTTTATATGCCATGCCCATTTCTGATGGCAAGAAGATGTCAAGTGGTATTCCTAACTAATATCAAGTTTTTTAGGACATTTTTGAAAAAAATAGAACACAAATATTCTTTTAGAGCATTAATCTTATGATTGTTCCATTGATATTTATGAAAGATCTCGACCACCATTTGGACCAATCTATAGCTTATTACAAAATGAGTTGATTGTACTCAAAGTATACATTAATTAAAACTTCAGTAAGAATTTCATGCATCATTCTAAATTTTCGGCCAAGGCTCCTATGTTATTTGTAAAGAAAAAAGATAGATCTATGTGAATGTGTGTAGACTATCAAGGACTCAACAAGATTACTATCAACAATAAGTATCATCCATCTTTGATTTTAGGACTTCTTGATCAATTCAATCAAGTAAAGATCTATACAAAAATAGATCTATGAGGAGCATATAATTTGGTATACATTAAATAAAGAGATGAATAAAAAATTGCATTTTGAATCAAGTATGGGTATTTTGAATATAATGTCATGCCTTTTAGACTCACAAATGCACCAATTGTTTTTCAACATCTAATGAATAATGTCTTTTATGAGATTTTTGATGATTTTATCATTTGTTAATTAGACAACATCATAATCTACTCTAAAAACATAGAAGAGTATGAAGTTCATGTTCATTGTATGTTACAAAAACTTAGAGATGCAAAATTAAATGTGAAGTTAGAAAAGTATATATTCCATATTACTCAAGTTGACTTCATAGAATATATCATTTCCAATGAAGGACTAATAGTGGATCTAAAGAAGATCTAGACTATTATGGATTGGAAGATTTCAAGAATAATAAACAACATACAATGCTTTTTGAACTTTGCCAATTATTATTTAATCTTCATCAAGAACTTTTCTCAAGTTACAACTCCACTTATATGTTTGACTTGTAAACACAAACTTGAATAGAATAAAGAAGTCAAAGCATCATTTGATGCTTTAAAAAAGGAATTTATTTTTGCACCAATATTATATTGTGTCAATTTTTACAAGGTATTTTTTATGAAAGCAGATGTATTAGACTTTGTCTTGAGTGCAATATTATCACAAATGGAAGCAAATGACAAACTCCATTTAGTAGCTTTCTATTCCAAATT